ATAAGAAACATTTTTTTTAAATATAATTACTTACATCAAGTGGTAAATATCCTACTATTGAAGATAAAAGTATTACTGATGCTGATTTGCTCTTTCTTAAAAATGATAAGGAATCTCTTAATAGAAGAAATGTACTTTTAACATTAATATCAAAAATTTTATCCCATACTGATTCTGAAGTTTCAAAAAAAGTAGAAAAACTTGGATTTATGCCTGCATTTAGTACTAGAATATCCAAGCCATGAAATTCTTGTATAGTCTATTTACATTATTAAATTGTTCTTATAAAAAAAATATATTATAAATTCATTATTTATAAAATAAAATAAATAAAAAATTTACTTTTTCAAGCAGAGATTTTCTATCTTCATTTTTGCCAACATGACATGTTATACCACAGACATTTAAATTTTTAGACTTAAGTTCCTTTAAAGCATTTTGTACATTTTTTTCATTACGGCTACTAATCATTACTTTAGCACCTTCTTCAGCTAAACGTTTTGCTATTGCAAAACCAATGCTATAATAAATTACATTTTATTAAATAATATAATTATGGAATAAATTTTATTCTATATAATAAAAAAAATTGAATGTATAATTTCTATAAGTAAATTACCCTTGTGTTGATGCTGTAACAATTGCTACTTTTCCTTCTAGCCGTTTACATTTTATTTCTGATAAATTGCGATTAATTTGTTGCATAGTTCGATTTACTGAAGAGCGTAACATTATAATAAACTATTTCAAAAATATAAATAAATTTTATATAAAACCTATTTCGATTTATTACGTTTACTTTATTTGACGATATCAATATAGTTATATATTCATATATTATTCATTATCATTATATCATTATCATTTTTATACTTCATGGAAATATACTAAAAACAATAAAATAAAAAGATAAAAAGATAAAAAATAGAAAAAAAAAGATAGATTTTTCAAATTATGTTTCTACTCGAGAGATGGCGTAGAATTTTAATTCTTATTCTATTATTATTCTATTCTTTATTTTACTTTTGGAGAAATGTTCTTTGTATCTAAGAGATAGTGCTAAATCATCTATTTTTATTTTTTTTCTTTTATTTGCTTTCTTTACTTATATTAGTTTCATTTATTTTGATTTTTCTGATTGAAGAAATGATTCTTCAATTTTTATATTATTTCTGTCCTTTTTTAATTATTTGTTCTATCTATATTTATTCTTGGCGCGTAATCAACATAAGAAATAAATAGTTTTCATTATTTGTCTTTCAAAATTATAATGAATTTTAATGTTTAATGTAACATATAAATATCACATCATTGGTTTTACAGTATATCTTTAAAAAAATTACTTTGTAAGATATAATATATTGATATATGACATAAATCGTTTAATGTAAAATATTATTCTAAAATAGAATTTAAAAAAATAAAAGTAACAAGAACATAGGAATGAATTTTAAAATATTCTATTAAAAAATAACGCTATCGCTATATTTGTTGAATTTATTTTTTGCTATTTGTAATCTTCAAAATAGTTAACCGTTATAAATAAAACTCTTACTAATAAAAACTGTTATCAAATATAAATATAATTTTAATTAAAAAATTATAAATAAAATATTAATTTATAGATTATTTTATAGTTTAAGATTTAACATGTATGCAAAATATACTTATTTTGCAATTTATTTTATTATTTTGTATATAAATATTTTTTAAATATTTGAAAAAAATTTATGTTATAAATATTATTTCAAAAAACAATTCAAATATTTTTATAAAAAATATGATTTTATTTTTTAAAAATCTACAATATCTTAATTTTTATCACGAAACTAATTTATGAAATAATATTGTAATCGATAAATTGATGAGAATTTTTGATTTTTAAAAATATTTTGTGTAATAATAAAATATTTAAAATAAAAAAAAATAATTAAAGTTTGTATTATTTTAAATTTTTTAATATTGCAATTTTATTCTGAACCAAATCAATATTATTATTGCGAATGATACTAAAATAATAAAAAAATTCTAATCTTAGATCTGTATGCTTTCGAGGTTATTTTTGAGAAACAAAAAAAATTCATTAGATATTAATAACATTGTTTAAATAAGGTTTATTCTAATAATGTTTAGTTAAATTTATTTAAAATCTGTTCGCTTAAATTTATATGATCCATTTTCACTTTTTTCTCACCATTTAAAGTTTTGAATCTTCTTTAAGCTTCTTTCACATGACAATGTTAATATCAATATTATATGATAATGCAATATGATATGAATAATGATGGTATATAAAAATTCAATGAGACAATTGCTAACTAAACATTGAATTTATAATTAAATATATATTATCAATACCTATAAATGAATATGATAATATTTATATTGTCATGTGAAAGAGGTCTAAGTGTAGACTTAATGGAGCAATATTGTAGTTTTTTTATGATAGTATGAGAGAAAAGCTATTGGATGACAGAGCAAGTCGATGTAATCAAAGCATACAGTGTATGTAATACTATTTTCAATAACGGGTATTATCTTATATCTATTGATAATATCTAAATTAGTTAATTCATACATACAAGAGTTTCAGCTGCATGTAAAAGAAACGGATACAAAACTAAAAGCTAACCTTCACTGTGTAAAAGGAATTAATTTACCATGCAGCAATATAACGTAACTTTTAAATATTAATAACGTACGTATGATAACCCCCAAATTGATAATACGATGGCTACAGGAAAACGAAGAGGCATGCATTCATCGTCCGGTAGCTCCGCGATGTTCGGATCATCGGCTAATAATTTAAGGTCGAGTCGTCTAAATTTTCGTCCAAATTCAAGTCAAGAAGACAGAGGCGGAACTCGACCAACAGCTGCTCCAAGCTCTATAGGTCTCATACTTTTAACGATGTTTTTACATGTTTGTAAAAAATCTCTACTCTTTGATACAAGGCTCAAAGTTACTATATATTGTGGTGCGATATTTGTAGTATCACTAATAGCAGATTTTATCGCTATGCCAAGAACTTATTTTTCACGTTCAGATAACGCTCTTAATCAATATTTTGTGAAGTGGGGATGGGGTTGGTTACTGAGCGTAACTGTTCCATGGGTCGCATTAACTGCACATACAATTGGCTGTGGTCGTAGATCAATTCTATTAAAACATCTTGCTAGATTGGGATTAGCTACAATTGCGTGGATATTATGGATAAAATTATTTAATTATATTGAAACCAATTATGGTCGATGTCTTAGTACAAAAGATATACAATTACAAACAAAAGCAAAATGTCTTCAATCTGGTAAATTTTGGAGTGGTTTTGATATATCTGGACATACATTTATTCTTATGTATTCAAGCTTAATTCTAGCAGAAGAAGGTTCTTCATTGGTTGGATGGGAGGGTATAAAGGATTTAATTATGCGCGAAGAACATTCGCGAATTACCCCAAATGAACCTAATACTGGACCGCTTCGAAATCTTTCGAATTCTGATTTGGAATTTTTAAAAAAAGCACATAAAGCACTTACGCCCTATTTAAGAGGTCTTTTTGTTGCAATGACGTTGCAACAATTACTTTGGGATACTATGTTAATATCTACAATGCTTTATTATCATATTATGATAGAAAAATTTCTTGGAGGTGTAGCCGCCGTTTTAACATGGTACATTACGTATCAATGGTGGTATAAATCTTCAAAAAGTACATTGCCTGCACCTGGCGATGGTTTATTCAAATATAATGAGGTAAAAACCCATGACAATAATTTAATCAGATCGAGACGTAGTACATTAAATGGTACTAATAGATTTATGGGACTTCCTATTCGTACGAGTCAGGAAAATATCGATAGCGGTATTAACAGGCAATCAGATTCCGAAATAACTGTTCTGAGAACATAATAAAATTTTAGTTTTCATATTTGATAATAGGATTGATCAATAATTCTAATACTTACGTAATTTTTTTACATGTATATATATTAAATATAAAAATGTAATATCCTGAGATAATTATATTTATTTAAAATTATTTAAATAATTTAAATTTAATTAATTTAAATTATTTAAAATAATTCTATAATTATTCTTTTAATTCATGCAGCAGTAAAAATCAATAAAAATGAAATGCAGTGCTAATAAAATAATATTTTATATATCATATATGCAGCATTTTAATATAAATACTTTGAACTTTAGATAAATTGTATTTGTTATTGAATAATTTTATTGAATGAAAACTATATTTTTTTTCTCTTAATCGAAATCTAAATAAGTATATATTATTCATTGTGTAATTTATTGTTAATTTATATATAAAATATCAAACAAAATAATTGTTCTATCTCTTTATGGACTGTTCAATTAATTAGTATGTATGTGTATATAATTACTATTATGCACATTTTGTAATCTTGTTTTGTAATTTATAACTTAATAAATTATTGTTAACAAAATATTTGTTCCATTAGTCGATAAAATATTTGTAATAAAAATTTTTTCTTTATTATTTTTCCCAAATTTTATTTTATTACTGTTATGTATATATATTATTTTGCAGAAAGTTTTATTCTATTAGAACTTATATGAAATAAAATATTTTTTTAACAAACTTTTCTAAATTTATCCACTAAATTTATTTATATGTAGTAAAATTATTTAACCATATTATATATTCTACCTTTTATAATGAAAAATTTATGTGATTTTTATAATTACACATGTAACATAAAAATAGTTATATAAAATATACACACTCTTTAATAATATTTTTTTTTCCTTAGATAAAAATATTAAAATTAATGAATTATTTCTTAACGGTTTGAATAAACTAGTAATGCTAATGTTGTAATAATGAATTTAATTTGTTCAAAATAAATTGTCCAAGATAAAAAAAAAGATAATGTAAAATACTTATACTGGCGCGACATTTTATTGTCGTTGAATATTATCAAATTTGTTTGTATCTATTTAAAAATGTTAAATTTCTTATGTTTGTAGATATTTGGTTGTATATTTCAACAGAATTTTTTTTCATATATAAATAAATTACACGTTTTATTTACGTGTATTTGGCAGTTTTAAGACATCGTTTTGTTATTTATTTTTATCTTACTTCTACAAATTACTATGATCATTTAATTTTTAAAGAAAATGTATGATTCGAAGTTTTTACATTCACATACAGATGTATGTGTACATGCGTAACAAAACACGAATAGTTTTCAATCTTCAATAACGAAGAAACTATAGTAATATAGTATTATATTTGTTCGATTTGTGTTTACATATTAGCGAAAAAAAGAAGTTCAGAAGTTAAATATTAATATTGTGATTAGAAAAATTTGTGAAATTAGAAATGTTTTTATCCTAATATGAAATATCTTTTTTATCTCATGCTACTTTATAGCAGCTAATTATATGTAGGAAATATTTGTGTTTGCGTTTGTGTATACATACATATTTCTAAAATAATTAATATATGTTGTATTATTAAACTTTTGATCGCTTACGCGCAATTGCATCTTCTACTGCTTTAAGTTGTTTTAATAATTCTTCTCGTCGTGAACTTGCTTTTTTTGCAGCTTTGGCTGCAGCTGCAGCAACACTCGCTTTACTGTCAATTAATGGTGGCGATTCTAAGCCTCTTTTTTTTCCAGCCATTAAAGCAGATCGATCAACTTTTTTTACAGCTGTAGTATTGCTTGTTGGCTTTAATGTAAGCTTGATTTGCTGTTTAGTACCACTAAGCTTCAAAGCATCAATACCCTTGGAATCTTTTCGTGTTACCGGTGGAGTGGAACCTTTTCTACGACGTGTTTCACTGGAAGAAGAGGAATAACTCGACTCACTAGAATCACTACTGCTACCGCTGCTTTCTGAACCTGAACTACTATGCGATGACCTAAAAATATATTTTTTTACATATATATATTAAATATGTACATTATTACATATATATATAAACATTGTGTTTTGCCAATTTTAATTTAATATCTTAAAATATCTATATATTTTATTCAGTTGATGAATGATTTTTACATATTTTACCTCGATCTTGATCGACTTTTAATAACTTTTGCTACTGCAGCTGCTGCTATCGCTGCTTTATCTCTTGCTTTTTCGTGATGACGTTGATGAGAAGAAAGTGGACTCGGTGCAGGTGGATTAAGACCAGCACGTCGATGAAGTGTACCAGTTGTAGGAGAAATGGAACCTTTAGGTGGACGAGGAGAAGGAGCAGGTGGATTCATTAACATGGCACCTCGCTGAGGTGCAGTAGCTGCGATTGTTGGAGGATTAGAAGGTGGCGACGTCACCACTGCTTTCCCTTTGCCAGCACCACGGGTTCTAGAGGGAGGGGATGGTGAGCGGGACCTGGATAGGGAGTCGTAAGAACTGTAGCTAGAGCGGCTCGAGCTACGGCTAGAACTAAAAACAGCATACAGTACACTTGTACGTTTTTCACATATAAATATTAAAAAAAAAAAAATTAAAAAATTCGATTACAATTTAAATAATCTCTCAATTAACGATGTAAAATATTTAGTAATATTATTAATTAAAATTAAAAATAAAAATTACCTTGTTGACGAATATGAAGAGCCTGAAGAGTATGACTGTCTTCGTGATCGTCGAGATGATGTATTTCGACGTACTGTACTTGGAGACTTCCGGCGCATCCAGGGATCTGCCCATTCGTCTCCTCTACTCCTTTCCTCTGGTGGTGGTTCTTCTTCTCGCCAAGGTTTTGTTGGAGGAATACGTTCTACAATAACCTCCCTTGATGGACGTTTATGTTTCTTCTCATATTTTTCATAATATTCTCGTTCTCTATCACGTTCGCGCTCTCTTTCTCTTTCTCTTTCTCTAGTATGTGGTGGTGGAGAAACAGAGTGAGGTGTTCCACGAGGTATTGCATGATAATCTATACGTTCTCTATATTCAGTAGTAACTCGAGAATCTGTTTTATAATGTACTCTCCTTAAAAGAAAAAAAATATTTAAATATTTGTTTTAAAATATTGTGAAATATATGATAAATATTTAAGTGAAAACAACAAATAAATTTCTATTTGTCTTAAATGTTTCATTTGAAATAATAAATACTTTCAAATTATTTTTGAATTTATTTATGAATTAATTATTATTTATGAATTTGACGAATAATAAATATTGTAATTATTACCTGTAATATTCTGGAGGAGCTGCAGGTGGTGCATAATAAGGATCAGGATCGTCGATATATCTTTCTGGTGTAAGTCTTGGTGGTGGTATTCTTCTAGGTGCTTCTCTAGGTGGCCACCTTTCAACAGGTGGTTCTGGACTAGCTGCTCTTACATAATATCCTGCTTCTCTATCTAATTCATCTTGTCCTAAGCTTAAATTCATTTTCTTTTCCTCAAAGTCCATATCTGATTCTTTACGTTTATTTGCTTTACGCATCATCTATGAAAATAGATAAATAAAAAATATTCATTATAAAAATGTCTTATAAAAATTATGTTATAATTATTTTAAAAAGTGTTTTGCTTAAAAATATTTTTATTAGTTCTGATAATATGAAAAACATTAAGCTTTAAAGAATATATGCATTGTAAAAAAAGTAATTTTTCTAATATCATTTTAAGCTTTCAATATTTTTTTTAAAAATCCAAAATCATTTCTAAATTAAATTAATGATTAAATTGTTATAATAATAGAAAAAAATTATAATCAAATAAAATAAATTATATAAGAAATATATTTGATGACTAAAAAAAGATGACTCAAAAAGAAAAGAAAGAAAATATCTTGCACAAATAATTTTTATTATAATATATTCATTTTTTAAAATTGCTCAAGTTATATATAAAATATTTTTTATATAATTATACGTAATAAGTATTGAAAAAACAATAAATGGTTTCTTTAAGATAAAGCAAATCTCAAAAGCAAATCAAACATAAACAAAATGTAAACTTACTTCTTTAGCATGTCGTAATCCACGTTCCCATGCAGATTCTGTAGGAAGATCTTCTATTTTTGGTGTATGTGGTGGTGCTCCATATCCAGGTAATGGTCTTACTATATTTGGTCTATCAATATGTGGTCTAAATTCATGTGGAGCAGCCACTGTATGTGGTGGATATGCCATTGGCCTTACCATATCAAACATGGTATAATTACCCTTATCAGTTACACCTGGATGTAAAAATCTACAACTAACTCCCCATGTACATTGACCTCGGTTATAAAAACGACAAACAGGTCTTGGTTCTGTTTCTTCTGGTCGAGCATCATCACCATCGCTAAGTTCCCCTTCTTCTAATTCAGATTCTACTTTTTCTCCATCTTCTTCTCCTTCTTCTTTATCATTTATATCACTATCTTTTAATTTCATTTTATCTTTATCCTTATCTTTTCCATCTTTTTCATCTTTATCTTTATTTTCTTTAATAATAGGTCCTTCTGCTTCACCTAAACATAAATACAATTTTTTAAATTATATTTTATTTGAATTCAAATAATTTATAAATTATTTACCTTCATCTCGTTCGTCTTTCCATTGACCATCAGCTTCAAAATCTAACTGTTCGCTTTCTTCTGTTAATCCAACAGGTGCATGTTTATCTTCTTTTTCTATTTTTTCAGTAATTAAATGTTTTTCTTCACATTGTTGGTTTTCTTTGAGCATTGATTCATGTTCAGTACCATCAACTCCATCTATACTTTCTAAATCAGAAACATCTGATAAATCTTCACCATGTGTAATCGGTGTAGGTTTCGATTTAGTTATTGATTCAGGTTCATCTTCAATATCTCCATCAGAAATTTGTTCTCCATCCAATTCATTAAATGAAGTTTTTGTTGGTGGGGAATGAGGTGGTGAATGTTTTTCTGATTCTTGATCATCCATAGGAGATGCTGGACCTGATTTTGGAGAACTTCTTCCAGACATTAATGATTTTGCTGAACTATGTCCAGATCTCGGAGATTTTGGTGAACTTTGTCTTGATTCACTATTTTTATAAGAATATGATTTAAGAGAATTATCTCCAGATCTTTGTGCATCTACTTCCAATTCAAATTGTTTAGGTTCTGTATCATCAAGATGTAGAGATTTAGAATCAAGAGGAGTAGATGGGCATGATCTTTCATCTTGTATAGGAGAATGAGATAAACTCTGATCACTTCTTGGGGAATCCAAAGAATTATTTCCTGAATGATACGATTTTGGTGAAGTAGGTGGCGATTTTGATAAACTACGAGTTGATCTTGGAGAACCCACTTCACTAGGAGATACTAATCCAGATCTTTGAGATTTTGGAGATATTGGTGTATATCTTGGAGATTTTGAGTCTCTTTCTGATAAAACAGATTCAGGTGATTTTTCTCTTGAAGAAATGGAACTTGCTCTAGATTTATGTCCAGACATAGATGAATGATGTGAAAAGTTTGGTGATGCCACATTGTCAGCAGGTGTAACACGATCTCTCCTTCCATCATAACCCTCCGAAGAGGAACTTTCTGAACCAGAGTCTGACATGATGAATTATTCTAACCTGTAAATAAGTTATTCTTTTACAATATGTACAATAATGATTTGACAAAAAAATGGGACCACTGCTTAAACAAATTGTTAATTTCCCTTACTTGAGAAGTGAATTTTTTAGCCGAACCGACCAAATGTAGCACTGAAAAATCTGCATCTGTAGCATCGCAGGGCTTACCTGTATCAATAAGAGCCTGTGCAGTACTTGCTCTTGAAGGCACAACGCGAGCAATCCATACCGTGTCGAACATACTTTTTATATCACGTTGATAACTTTTTTACTAATAACTTTTGTACTTTATACTTAAACTGAACTTTTTTCACATTTACAAGACATACTGTTAATTTTCAAGATTTCTTGCCCCGAACTTTTTGTTTTACGTTTTAAACTTTCAACTCGAACACAACACAAACTAAGAAATACCGGTAAACCGCAAACTGTTATGTACTGCACTAGAAACTATAACGAACGGACTTTCAACCTGTAAGAATGTCTTTTGGGCATGGAAAAAGAAAGAACAAAAGGAAAAGGAAAAATTTAGGAAAAGAAAAACTAAAGCATTGTACTTATCATCATATATAAATAAAACCATATAAAATAAAAATCATTTAACTTAATATTATAAACAAATTATATAAAAAATAATATAAACCAAATAACAGTAGTCAGTAATAAAAAAATTAACGTAATTTCTAAATTTGATATTAGTAAATATATATGAAATAATGCAAAAAAAAATATTTATTATAAATTAAACAATGTTTATATAAATTTCTTAACTAGGAAGTAGTTCTCTGGTAATATTATAAAATAAATATATTTAATATCTATAAATATACTAATCCAATAGCATATAAAAATTACTAATTATATACGATACAGATTGCAGTAATAATATTTAAAAGCTAAATTAAAATTTATTTCATGAGAATTATCAATGTTTTATTAATATTATAAATTATAATCAAATTAATCTCAGTTAGTGTTAATAAATTTATATATAATATTCATTTCTAAACTTAATAGAAATTAATATTAATTTCTAAATAATAAGATTTTAAAATCAATTTTAATATTTAAAAAGAATTTTTTAAAGATTTTAACATTAAATTTAATACCCACTAATTATGAATAATATGATATATTGAAAATGTTAATATTTATATATATTTATAAATCATAAAAAAATAATATTTGGAATATAGTCCCACGTAAATGAGTGAATATATACGCATATAGACGCGCGCGTCTGTGTATGTATGTGAGTGAGTGAGTGAGTGAGTGAGTGAGTGAGTGAGTGAGTGAGTGAGTGAGTGAGTGAGTG